GAGAACTGAGAAATGTGTCTCTCGATATTCGCGCATTAATTACAAACGCAATATTTACAAAACAAATGTGTCGCTTTATGCAGTCTCCCTAGAAAGTGAAAAATGTAGGGGAAGTAAAGGGAGTGAGGCAGCTGTCCGCTGTCAACCCCTTGGAGTGACAAAAATTACAAAGATTACAACTTAATTTCGACTTTCAGCCCTCTGGGTTGAGTGCTGGACGGGCATTTACATACATAAATCCTAGATCTCCTCTGCCTCGGCCTCTTCTGTGCTGGAAAAGACACTCGAAATAGTTGAAAATATTTTGTCGTGCCCTCCATTGTTGGAAACCCCTTCTTGAGATCCAGGTAAGTCGGCATTTGCATTTTCCTGACAGCTCTCACAGCTCCGCATTGTCCTTTCACACCTTTAAAACTCGAGTTCCTTGCCGAACTCACACTCCACTGCATTTGTAAATATTTTGATTGCATTCGGTGGGACTTTTCTATGCACAGATAGAAATACTTCTCTATATCAAATTGATGTGGGCAGTTTAAATAAGGAATACTAATATAATAGAGTTAATAAAATGTTACAGAGAAACTTATACCATAACAACCAGAAGAACACCCAGAAAAATTAAGAAAGAAAAATGCCTAGAGTAAGCGTTCTTCTCATTAATCGAGTAGAAATGTTCTTGATATCAAGACGAAAGTAATTTCAAGCTTGTTTTTAAAACGAACGAACCCTTGATTTTCATTTTCAAGACGAAAGTAGTCATGAAATCCGAGAAGTCTTTGTATTGATTTAAAGAATTTAAGATCAAATCAAACTTAATTTCCTTTGAGTTCAAGAGAACAGTTTTGAGAGTATCTGAGCTCTTCTGTGAAAAAGACAGTTTCCCCCTGCTTTTGTGTTAAGTTTGATTTTGATATTATGTTTTTATTCTCCAGACTCATACATCATATCAGTTGTTTCTCTGTAAGACGAAAGAGTTGAGCTCCACCGAAGGCACCAATTAGCAGTTACCTGGGCAGCGGACGCACTCACCTGTGGCCAACTGTCTACGCCCTCGTACAACTGCAACAATGCCATCGCCTCGGGGCCAAATCAAAATTGCAGCCAGCACTTCCTTCGGGGTTTCGCTTGAGCTCTGAGCTCTGAATACTGGGTTCTGGGTTCTGGGTTCCTTCCCCCGACTTTCACACGTTATTCAGTGAGCATAAAGCGGCGCGTATTTAGGCCAGAAAAAAAACAAGAAAAATAGGGGAAGACCAGCAGCAACTACAATCCACTTGACCAACTCGCTGGATGCCAAAAGCCAAATCGCCGAAGCGTTGGATTTGTAACGTATTTTCCATTTACGAGGAGTCAGAAGGGGACACTTCTTTAATTGTTCTGACTGTTAGCATTTACGCCGGGGCCACCGTCTTCGTTTTCTCCTTATAGATGGTGGCTGTGCGATAATATATATTTTCCCAGACAATTAAAGTGAGGGAAAAACTCGTCATTTGGTGGCAATAGAAGGAAGATGTGGAGATCGCTATAAAAGATATATTTTCTCCTTGATAAAAGCAATACGAGACACTGTGCTAGGATAGTTCTTTGGTTATTTGGGCAGTAAGGAGCAGTTTTCACTGCCTGGGGTTAGTTGAAGAAATAATTGATGTTTCCGAAAATAGTAGAATGTTAAAAGTGTAGGCTACCTATGAGACAAAAGAAATTAGATCTACGTTTCCTTTATTGTTAAATTCCTAAGGAAATTGTGATCTTTTTGAAAATATTTACACTTTTTTGGTATGTGGAAAGAACGAAAGTCCTTTAAAAACACAAATAACAATTCTACTAATTTAAGGGTATTTTTGGTTTTTTAAAATGAACATATAGAAACATTACAATTTGCCAATTGTCCATTTGCTGTTAAAAAAAACCCAAAGCCATTTGCCAATTTTGGGAATAGGCATTCTACCCTGTTGTTGACAGCAATGAAATTAATAGTGCCAGCCATTTTTTCACCGAGTTTTCATATTCAAATTACATTCCAAATTGATTAATGGGTGAAAATTTGCATAGGGATGATGCGGTGCCATATGTGATGAGGCTTAATTAAGGAAGGTAGGAATGTTCGCCACTCTCCCCGAGTGCATTCTCTATGTGCACCCATTTTATATATCTCTTCAAAGGCACGCGATGCAGGATATTTGGAGGACAGATGGGCAGCAGACACCCCCGCTTTGTGCAGGATCAGTATGCTAATTTATCCTGAATTTCTGTTATTTTCGGGTTTTACCACGCGACAAGGACGAAGGACACACCGCACGCGATAAAGTCCGCGGCTAGTTTTCATTACTATCGCAGATCAGACTAAAATTAGAGTCCCGAAAGGGGGAGACTTTTCCAAAACGGGAGCAGTATTTCGCGCAGCTGTAGGCGTAAATTAAAATGCATTTTACGCAACTGTGCGACGAGATCCGGGTTTTAGATCCTGCAGCTGTTGTCCCTCGTATTTTCCTAATGGCACGCTCTCAACACTTGAAAAGGACACCCCCGCCGCACAGTTAAGGCCGGGTTAGCTCTCTGTTTTTCGTGGAAATTTACGCATTTTCATGCTCGACTACCGTTGAACAGAACGAGAACCCCCGACCGAAAATAGATTAGCCGCTCTCAAAGGATATTGAACCCGGCCAGGACGAGGGGCAGCCAAAGGACTTCGCTGTAGGTCAGCTCGAGAGTTGGACAATCGCCGAAGGGCACGAGCCACGATCGGAGTTTTGGCCCAGGATAATTGCTTCAAGTGCCGACAGATTGATGACTAGTCCCATTCAAGGATATATTTCAATTCACGACTAATGGGTTAGAAAGTGAAAGAAACTGAGGTAGAAAGACAATTACTTTTTGATTTTGAAAATTATTACTTTTTAATTTCAATGTATTGACTATTTTTTAAGCTATCGGCATACAAAAAATGCTCAATGAAACATTTAAGTTTAAAAGAATAATGTATGTATATATACATATGTATACAATTTAACTGCGGTTTTGATTACTTAAGTGCATAAACAATTTTTAAGACACAGAAAATAAAAACTGTACTACTACTACCGATAGCGTGTACACTAATAAAAACCATTTGAAAATAAATTCAGTAATGTTACATTTCAATATAACATTTTCGATACACTCAAAAAATAAACAAAAGTCAAAATGTTATGTACTAAATAATAAAGAGTCCTAACATTCTAGTTCGATTTCTATACCAAAGACTCTCTATTTTCGATTTGTGGTATTATTTCAAGCCCAGGAAAAATTAAATGGTTGTCATCTATTTAAAATATGGATAAAATTATAAAGTATACTTAAAGATTTTAAATGTAGGATATTATGAATTTATTAATAAATCAACTTAAATAGGCTTAAAGTAACCAAATATTAATAAACTTAGTTAACCAAAAAAGCAAGAAAACAAAGAGGAAAAATTCAAAAATTCAAAACCGCGGCCAAAGTTCATTTACCAACACTGGCCTTCGAGACAACCTATCCAGATCTCCTAAAAAATATGACACAAAATAGTGCTGCCACTTAAGGGTCAAGTCTTTGGTTTAGCCGAGCTCTGCACCATCAAGAGTTACTTTTTCCAATTGGAATGTCCTTTGGATATAATTAAATTGAGTTACAAAATTCGTTTTAAATCGCCATTTTTAAATGTGTTCTATAAAAATTTCCTCTACTCAAGAATTCTACGAAAAAGAAAGAAAAGATATTTTTTAAGAGAGATATTAACAAAAGAAGACATAGGTATAGACAAAGGAGCATTACATTTTGAGGACCCACAGAAGTATGCCCAAAAGCATGCTTTTTAAAATTACACTGCGGCGTCCCCTTCCCCTACAAAATGATGTTTCTAATTTTAAAATCAAAAAATTTAATTTAATTAGATACCTATATTTTTTAATCAAAACAAATCAAATGCGTACAAATGAAGCTTTTAAAATACAAGTATCTATGTGACGCATATGAGGTAATTCGTTATATTATTTGCTGAGGTAGAGTGAAAAGTACCTAAAATTTTACAAGTATTTGGAGTCTAGATACTTCATGCTTTTGATTTTTCCACATGTTCCACCGCGGTGCATCGTATCCATCTGATGAAATGCGAAGTTTTTTATAAACAGCTGGTCGAAATTCGCATGTCCGGTCAAAACTTCCTCCATACGAGGTGATTCCGGCTAGATATTGAAATTCATCCATCCCCCATAAAATATGTAATTTACCGATTATAGTTAATATAAAGGTTTTAAAATAAACCTAAGTTCTACCTAATTTAAATATTTTCTAATTAAATCACACCATTTAATTTGTTTTATTTTAAAAATTAAAGTTTTGTATTTTTATCCCATATTTAATACGAAAATTTGAATTCTATAAATACATTTATTTGTATTATTCTAGCTTTTTGAGAGAATTAAAATAAAATATCAACGAATAAAGTCAAAAAGTGTAAAGACGATAACCCATAACCCGAAATAATTTCGCGGAATTTGATTAGATTCGTCGGAAGCTTTCCACGCCCATTAAAGTTGTAAGCAGGAAATGTGTGCAGTCTTGGGAACAGTCGCTTTGTATATCTCCATCTTTCCCTCCTCAACTATATCGTTTTTTCTGGTTATACCCATTACTCGTAGAGTAAAAGGCTTACACTTAACTCGTCGAAGAGTATGTACCAGGTAGCAGAAAGCGCTTTCCATTTTAAAAATTGTTGTCTTTTCGAAATCTAGGGGCAGTTTTCAAGTGGTATTGTGTAAACTAGTGTAATAAAAAACTTCGGTTTGGTACAAAAGCTTATCACATTGAGTGTTTTATAAAAAAGATTACTTTTAAATGTTTCTTAAATTTTGACTTATTTATAGATTGGTTTAAAATTGTATTTGGAAAACCCAAAAATAATCTTTCGAAGACAATGAAAAAGCTTCGGCTTGCTATAAAAGAATATCGCCCCTGATGCGTGATCAGAGTTCAGTCTTCGCCTCAAGATGAAGATCGTCTTAGCTGGAATCGTGGTGGCAGCCTGCCTTTTTCTGGAAGCTAGCAAAGGATCAGCATCCTTACTTGACGAAAATTGTGGAACTACAAAACGTCCTTGGAGAGTTCGGCGGGTAGTTGGAGGCGTTTCTGCTGATAGATTCGCGAATCCTTGGATGGTGATGGTGTTCTCTAAAAACAGGTTCATGTGCGGCGGCTCGCTTATCACCTCTCGTACGTATTTTCATAAAATATTTTTATTTAAATTGGTATACTTAAAAACGCGACTGATGCTTTTAGGCTTCGTTCTGACAGCAGCAAATTGCCTTTCTGAATTTCGCTTATTTCCGATCAGGTAAGTGCAGTGCTTTTATGTTGAAGTAGCATAGCAATTTTTTCTTTTAGTAAGGTGCGTCTTGGCGGATTCGACATGGATATCAGCGAAAACACTTATGAGGTTAACATCGATCGGAATATTTCTCATCCACAATTCCAATTAGATGGATCGTTTAAGTATGACATAGCTCTCCTTCGAATGGCTCAAGAAGTTTCGTTTTCAGGTAATTTTTTGAGATGGGCAAACAATTCCCCATAAACTAAAATTCTTTTTCTTAGTTTACGTAAGGCCAATCTGCCTGCTCGTCAATCAAAAAGTGCAAAACACTAATCCAAATTATAAGCTAACCGGATGGGGTAAAACTAAAAGTGGTGAAATGAGCAGGATTCTACAGACAGCCAATTTACAAATAGCAGATCATTCCTTTTGCAACAAAATATTTGGCATTGTAATTGATCAATCGCAGATCTGTGCCGGCAGTTTAACCAGCGATGCATGTGAAGGGGACGGGGGATCCCCGTTGAGCGCAGAGCTAAATTACGAGGGAACTATAAGAGAATTCCAATTCGGTATTGTCAGCTTCGGATCCTTTTCCTGTAATACCTATGGTGTTTACACAAACGTTACGCATTATATGGATTGGATTATAGATACAATTCACGCTAATTTAGTTTAAAATAATGGATCCAGATTAAATATTTGCGATCCAACTAAATCGGCTTATCATAAAATAAATCACATTAAATCAAAGGCACCCTTCGAGTTTTGCTTTAGTTATATATCTTTAGGGGTGGGGTCGGTAGGTTTGGACACATTCTGTCTTCGGTCGGTTTTGTGGTTTAATTTACATTGATGATTGTAACATTTAATTTTTTTAAACTTTAAATATCGCATACAAAAAATCAGCATAGAACGAGGTTGGGAGGAAATGGAAGCAATAAAATTTAGGCGTCCGATCGTCCCGCGCTTTTCCCCTGTTCAAGGTATGCATAAAAAATATGATTTCGAAGGATTCATGTACATAAATGGATTTGACACTGCGCGAAATATCTTTGAATTTCGCATGTTATATCCGATCGTTCTTATGGGAGCTATGAGTACTTGATCTTCGTCGGATGGCTATATTAGACATGGCTGATAAAAGCCAGGCCAAAAGTAAAGAATTCGTTGGTGAACATTTTAGGGAATACTTTAATTGTAATTTCTTATATATATTTATATATTTTACGGTATTTACGATTCAATTGTAATACCATATTGCCATCTTCTAAAAACACGATACTTACTCTTCAAGTTGGTAATTAAATGAAACATTTAGAAACAAATCTCTTAGACAAGTGAATTTTCAAATTCTGCCGCCTTCGCGTTTGACAGTGGTGAGTTTCAAAACGGTCCCGATTGGCCAAATCCTAAATTATGTATAAATCGAGTAAGCTAAGGAGGCATGGTCTGCGCACTCAACTCACATGCCATCCTAATTTAAGACAAATAGGGGCTACCTATTAGTCGACAATTCAAATCTCGACCCGCCGAAAGAAGATAACCGATTAGTTTTCCTGGCAATAACGCTGGTATCGATAGGCATAGATTTTTTGTCCACCTCTAGCCCGCTCTGTGCCACGGGCACACTGGTTTGGTTTGCCAATTTCAACAGCCGCGGCCACACTGATGCGAATTCTATATTGCAACTCGATCGTGCGTGTTCTGTATTTTTGGGAGTGCGAGGTGTGAAATTTCGCCACGAACGGGATCCGCTGTCCTGGAAAGCCTGCTAAGTCCTCATCCGCTGGAAATCCACTTCCCAACGCCTTCGCGTGTTTCCGACTGTCCAGCCGTGTGCGTGTGTCCGCGTTCAGCAGTGTGCGTGTGTGCGACAGAGAGAGGGCGAGCGGTGCAGCCGCAACTGGGAAATTAGATTGCCAATATTTCAGCGAGAAAACAATGTCGAGCGGTCAGCAATTGATGGCCGATTCGCCAGCCTGCAGCTCCACTGACCATTCGCCGCTGGCCAAGAAAAGGCGATTGGAGCTAGTGGGTGATGGTGAGGGGCGAGTGGGGATGGAGGAGGAAGAAGCCGGCGGAGCGACGAGCAGCAGCGGTAGCAGCAACAACTACGAAAATCACGACAAAGCAGCAGGCGGCGTTGACATTTCGAGCAAGTGCCAGAGCGAGACGACTAGTGAGCGCCAGCTGGAATTGTGCGTATCGTCGTCCACCTCTGACACATGCGGCGTAAATGCGACGACGAAGCGGGCCGAAAAGCAGAAACCGAAACAGAATCAGGGAAGCGGCGACGACGTTAGTACCTCGTCAGCAGTGGAAAAGGAAGGAAGCAAGCGGCCGGAGAAGCGCAATTACCTGGACACCACCACAGCAGAATCGCAAGAAGCCTCCTCCAGTGGATCCAGCACCACTACCACCACGAACAACAACAAAGTCAGCTCCAGCAACAACAATAGCAGTAATAACAGTACCGATAATCGGCAACCGGAGGGCAATAGCAGCATGACTGGAAACAGTGCCGCCGCCGGCGGAGATATCGATGAATCGCTGTACTCGCGCCAATTGTACGTCCTGGGTCACGATGCCATGCGCCGGATGGCCAACTCGGACATCCTGCTGTCGGGACTGGGAGGACTCGGTCTGGAAATTGCCAAGAATGTGATTCTGGGCGGAGTGAAATCGATCACCCTGCATGACACAGCAACTTGTGGGGTATGTGTGTGGGGGCGAAGAAGAAAAAATCGATAATTTTCCAGGCAGACGCGGGAAATGCCCGGGAAGGCAATTTGTCCAGCCCTGGTCTTCGGTGATTCATTTAGAGTTTTTCATTTCATCCCAGTGTCTGGACTCCGCGCGAAATTAGGTTAGGTTATCATCTCTATTTGCTTGCAAAAAGGTTTTGTGTGTGTAATTCGGTTTTCCTTCTTTTTCTATTTGCCTCAAAATGTCTGCGCCATGCGAAAAGTGTGCGAGCGGGACGACCGTATGCGCACAGCGGGCTGCAATTGTTTTTGCATTCCCTTTTGCTCCGCTTATTCGCTTTTGTTTTATGCACTGAAAGATACAATTACGTGGAAACATAAATTTAAGAGAACTTGAATGTTGTAACTAAAAAGTACCAAGTCAATATATTCAAACATTTAAATTTGTTAGTTAAATATCTAAAACTATTGGTTAAATATGTTAATTATTTTAATACTAGGATTTTCGTTCTGTGTAGCTGGAAACTCAACAAATATTCTTTTGTTAGTCATAGCCTGTCGCCTTTGCTAATTTCATCACTTGTGCAATATATTAATTTTCGGTTTCTGCCTTGCAGCTCCATGATTTGTCATCGCAATTCTATCTTACGGAGGCCGATTTTGGCAAGAACCGGGCGGAGGCCTCCTGCGCCCAGCTGGCCGAGCTAAACAGCTACGTGCGCACCGTGTCGCACACGGGACCACTCACCGAGGAGTTCCTGCGCCAGTTCCGCGTCGTGGTACTGACCAACTCGGATGCGGAGGAGCAGCAGAGGATCGGCAAGTTTGCCCACGAAAACGGCATTGCTTTGATCATCGCCGAGACGCGGGGACTGTTTGCCAAGGTGTTCTGCGACTTTGGCGATAACTTCACCATCTACGACCAGGATGGCACCCAGCCGGTGTCCACCATGGTTGCCAGCATCACGCACGACGCCCAGGGAGTGGTCACCTGCCTGGATGAGACCCGACATGGCTTCAACGACGGCGACTATGTCACCTTCTCGGAGGTGCAGGGCATGCAGGAGCTGAATGGCTGCCAGCCCCTTAAAATCACCGTGCTGGGACCGTACACCTTCAGCATCGGCGACACCAGCAAGTTCGGCGAATACAAGAGCGGCGGTGTGGCCACACAGGTTAAGATGCCCAAGACCATCAGCTTCAAGCCCCTGGCGCAGGCCACCGAGGAACCCGAGTTCCTGATCTCCGACTTCGCCAAGCTGGACTCCCCGGCCACGCTGCACGTGGCCTTTAATGCACTCTCCTGCTACCGCAAGGCCCACAATGGAGCCTTGCCGCGGCCCTGGAACGAGGAGGACGCCAACAGCTTCCTGGAGGTGTGCCGGGCCAGCAGCAGCGCAGAAGTCGATGAAAAGCTGGTGCTGCAATTTGCCAAGATCTGCTCGGGCAACACGTGCCCGCTGGACGCGGCTGTTGGTGGAATTGTGGCCCAGGAGGTGCTCAAGGCATGCAGCGGAAAGTTCACTCCGATCTACCAGTGGCTGTACTTTGACGCCCTGGAGTGCCTGCCCACTGAGGGCGTTACGGAGGCGGATGCCCAGCCCGTGGGCTCGCGATACGATTCTCAGATTGCCATTTTTGGCAAGAAGTTCCAGGAGAAACTGGCCGACGCCAAGTGGTTCATTGTCGGCGCTGGAGCCATCGGTTGTGAGCTGTTGAAGAACTTTGGAATGTTGGGCTTGGGAGCTGGCAAGGGCCAGATTTTCGTCACCGACATGGATCTCATCGAGAAGTCGAATCTGAACCGGCAGTTCTTGTTCCGGCCGCACGATGTACAGAAGCCGAAATCTATGACGGCCGCCGACTCCATCAAACGCATGAATCCGGAAGTGAATGTCACCGCCTATGAGCTGCGTGTGGGCGCCGAAACGGAGAAGGTGTTCTCCGAAGACTTCTTTGGCAAACTACACGGTGTAGCCAATGCTTTGGACAACGTGGATGCACGTATCTATATGGATCGCAAGTGCATCTTCAACCGCATCCCGCTGGTCGAGACCGGAACACTGGGAACCTTGGGCAACGTCCAGGTGATCGTGCCGTTCGCCACCGAGTCGTACAGCTCGTCGCAGGATCCTCCCGAGAAGAGTATACCCATCTGCACGCTGAAGAATTTCCCCAATGCCATTGAGCACACTCTGCAGTGGGCGCGCGACGCCTTTGAGGGCGTCTTTAAACAGTCCGCCGAAAACGCAGCCCAGTACATTGCTGATCCCCAGTTCACTGAGCGAATTGCCAAGTTGCCGGGTATTCAGCCTCTGGAGATCCTCGATTCCATCAAGGTAAGAATTGCTTTAATTTTACCTTAACCTGTTCTCAAGATTTTACAATCTCTAACCGTTATATTTTTCTGTATATTCTGTAGAAAGCCCTGATCGACGACAAGCCCAAGAGCTTCGCACACTGCGTGGAGTGGGCCCGCCTCTACTGGGAGGATCAGTATGTCAACCAGATCAAACAGCTGCTCTTCAACTTCCCACCCGATCAGATCACCTCCAGTGGTCAACCGTTTTGGTCCGGTCCCAAGCGGTGCCCCGATCCGCTGGTCTTCGATGTCAACGACCCCATGCATCTGGACTTTATATATGCGGGAGCCAATCTGCGAGCGGAGGTCTATGGCATTGAGCAGGTGCGCAATCGGGAGACCATTGCGGAGCTGGTGCAACAGGTTAAGGTAAGTGGTCGAGTTTAATCCAGTCGAAAACCATCTCTCAATTATTATAAATTATAGGTGCCAGAGTTCAAGCCCCGTTCGGGCGTGAAAATCGAGACCAATGAGGCAGCCGCCGCCGCGTCGGCCAACAACTTCGATGATGGTGAGTTGGACCAGGATCGCGTGGACAAGATCATCACTGAGCTACTCAAGAATGCCGACAAGAGCTCAAAGATCACACCTCTGGAGTTCGAGAAGGACGACGACAACAACTTGCACATGGACTTCATTGTGGCCTGCTCAAATCTGCGCGCCGCCAACTACAAGATC